TTTACCCCGAACGAACTAGTATTATGCCTCGCAGCTGGTCGTCCCCCGGAACACTCTTACCTAGAAAAGGAACTAATGTCTAAATACGTTCGAGATATTCGGAATAAGCTTGAATATTATTATAAAATTGCCCGTGCCAAAGCGGACGAGCAAAAACGAAAAGCTAAAATTCGTTTCGACAGTAGAGTATCACCGAATTTGCAATCATACAAAGTTGGTGATAAAGTCCTTGTCAAATAATAGCAAATTTCCAATAAACTTCAAAATAAATTTGACGGCCCTTTCGAAATCACTCAAGTTGTTGAAAATTCAGCACTACTCAAAAATCCAGAAACAGACAGAATTACTAAAGTTAATTTCGATAGACTGAAACCATGTTTTGAGACTTAGTTTCTCTTTCAGGTGCAGTCTGCTGTTTCTTGCGGCCCAAATAGACATTCACCCAGTCAACAATACTTTAGGAATTTATTTCCATGAAGACGCCCCTCTTAAAATTTCGAATGAAATTTACAAAGACCTAGATCTTATCAAAAAATCCCTCTACGATAACAACTATATTTTAAAACGTCTATATTCTCTTCTGGATGAACAAACCAACCCCATGAAAATTTTCAAAGGCGAAATTAAGACACATATTAGTCTCCTCCGTTAAATCTCAGGTTCCCTAGAATCAAAATATTACGAGATTTTCGATGACACGACAAGCGCATCGCGAATGAAACGCGGACTCATTAATGCTGCAGGAACTATCTAGAAAGCAATAACAGGTAATCTTAATTCATCTGATGGTGAATATTATAATGACTGCATTAACAAAATTTCTAAAAATGAACAAGAGCTTGAAAACCTCACGAAAAATCAAATTTCTGTAACCATGTCGGTTATCAAGAATTTAAACAATACAGTTCGGAAGTTACAAATTGACGAAGCTACATTCAATGAGGACATAAAAATTATTCGAGACAAAATTATCAATATTTCAGACGAAATTGCCTTTCTTGATGCTAGATTCAAATTTTTAGAAATATGTGAGCAACTTATGGAAAGTTACATGTTCCTTGAAGAAACGATTAACGACATTCTAAATTCCATTACTTTTGCTCGTTTGAAAATGATCCATCCCTCAATTATTACTCCTCACGACTTAGTGAATTCCCTTCAGGAAATTTCACACACCTTGTCAAAAAACAACTTGCCCTTGCCAGTCAATTTAGCAACGGTCTCTGAATATCTCAATCTCATGGAGCTTGAGGCATATCAGACTAAAACAAAAGTAGTTTTCGTTTTAAGAATCCCTTTACTAGAACCAGCAATTAACACCCTGTACAAAGTAATTCCTCTGCCCATTTCAGATAGCCGCACAGACTTATTTCATGTTATTTCTACAATACAGAGATACATTGCCAAGGATAGCGATTCGCTATTGTACGTGTCCTTCTAAAATTTAGAAAATTGCAAAATCCTTCAAAGTCTAATCAATATTTGTTTTCACCTTTTGCCTTACCCTATAGACAATAATGCAGTCTGTGAAGCACAGTTGTTGCGAAACCCGGTCGATCTGCCGAATGCATGTCAGATAGCTATTGTGGCCTTACAGGGTTATAGAATCCAAGAATTAGCAACCAATTTTCGGCTGATTACAATATCTAGCCCGTTGTCCATAACCATGAAATGTGGACAAAGAGAGACAACCACAAAAGTGACAAAAGCTAATTCACTCTTAAAGATGCAACCTGGATGCAGTGGATTTGTAGGTACTACTAGACTTCATGCCAGATATTCTGTCAATACTTATAAGAATATCACCTTCAGGAATCACCCTGTAGAGATGCCATACAATTGCTGCGAACACTTACCAGACAAACATAAACTCTCAAAATTAAAGCCGATCAAGTTAAATAAGATCGACACTGAAGAATTAGAAATAGCTAACCACAAGTTGAATCAGTACTCCGAACAACTTGACGAAATTATCAACGAGCCCTTCCTATCCAGACATCTCTCATGGTTCACATATTCGATAATTGCCGTCTTAGTTCGTAGCATTGTAACCTGTTCTGCAAGTGCAGAAGACGTCGACCACTCAGTATCTGTGCGCCGAATTATCCAGCCGATGACCCATTTCCAGGAACCTCGAAAACTCGATACATTCCCAGACTTTTTCCCCGTAGAAGACCGACCATCCAGCCACAAGAAGAAGACATTGAACTACAGTGATTCTGTGAGTGAAGTGTTATCACTGTCCAAAAATTTTATTTTCCATTTTTCATACAATTGTACGGCTGTATTTCTCAACGTTTATTTGTTCTAGCTTTTGCTTTCATATTTAGATGGTATTTTGCATCACCTATGCACCGTATAATAATAATTTTATGTTTCAGAATTTGTATTTTCTGATTTCATTTTGTTATTTTACTATTTGTAACCTATTTTACAACTTTATATTTTTACAATTTTACTTTCCAATTTTTCTATTTTTGATCAAAAGTTGTCGCTTACTTGGTGACGAAAGGACAATGAGTTATCTTCCTTTGGCATGCGATAAGGGCGATATGCTCGGATTGTCGGGGCCAACACCTACTTTTAAAAAAAGACTTATGAGTATCTCCCGTATTCAACCGACTCTTAACATCACAATCACAAATCTACTATTTACCATTACATTAATGTACCCCAACTACTAGTAAGGATTCGTCATCGACTGAATCACGGGATCGTCACACAGACTAATCCTGACCGTCACACAGACTGATCATTAAGTCGCCACACAGACTGACTAGGAGTCGTCACACAGACTAACTATTTTGTCGCTAGGTGTATGGTCAGACGTGCCGAGTTTAACGACTGTTACAAAAAGACAGTCCAGGAACCGGGATATCACGTTGGCCAACGTCCGTTGTGTCAATACCCCAAAGCTCTGACGTTACCGCTGAATCAGAGATAACCGAGCAAGATGACTATCATTAAAGTAACAATCCCTTCACACATCCTGCCATGAGATACATTCAGAATCCAGCGATTGCCAAGAGAAGATAGTTAAGCGGTCATTCAGACCTATAATGCCACTTCCGCCAAAGGCCACCGTGTCAACATCCCAAGCGCTCGGACGTTTCCCCAGGTAGAGGAAACCGATCAGTAATTAACATAACTACCTCAACCCATCAAAGAACCCCGAGAACCTGGAGGCGTCCCACCTGCAGATACTCAATAACAAGTCGTAAGCCATAAATTAAATTATGAAAGTTAAAAGTATAACATCTTTATAAACATGGCTTAAGATATTCATGATCATGAATATAAAAGTATTATGGTTATCAATCCATGCAGTACAGTAAAATCAAGGAAACACTCAGTGATTGCTCACCTTTCAGGTAACCAAAACACTACACCCAATAGCACATCAACACTGTAATCAGGTCCACAAAGCGCACTACTTGGTCTGAGAAGCGATCTTCTCCACGCACTATTTGAACTGCATTGCCAGCCAACCCCGTTTTAAGAAAGTTTAGCCTGAGAACAAGTACCCAGAGAAGGAATAGAATGTATAATATAACACTAAGCAGCCTTGTGAACCTTCTGGAAAGATTTTGTGTGCTACTGGGTTGGACTCGCATGCAAAAATTTGTTTCAGATATTTCGTAAGCTTATACGAAGTTCAGCACGATTAGGATGGGAGGCCGAAATCAGGCGGATCTACCTGGCAGGCATCATGGAGGAGAGCTCTGAGGAGCAAGGCCCGTTGGTGTAGCGGTACAAGAGAGCTAGATCGTCGACGGCCCGCCGGTGCGAAAGGGTTTGGAGTTTGTCCGTTAGATAAGAGTCATCGATCAGTCGGACGACAGCCTTCTGAACAACATCGAGCATGGATAATGTAGCCGGGGCGGCAGCACCCCAAACATGTGAGCAAAACTCGAGGCTAGGTCTTATCTGGGCCTTGTACAGAGGATCTCATGTAGAAAAAAGTACTTCTCAGCCCTAAATAAATAGCCTAGCTTTTTCCTCTGGACTCCGACCAGCCGAAATGTATGGCTCTTTGGTACAATTTGGCGATCCATCGAAAGCGGATAAGCGCTAGACGCTGTTTGTTCTTCAAGGTACACTACTGTGTTTTGGAAACATTAAACTGTACAAGACTGTTGCGTTCCCAAGCAGTGGTAACCTCCAGATCTCTCGTCAGAGAGGAAGTCGCTGCTAGTCTTCTTTTCTCCAGCTCACCATCAGAGATCGACTTGTCACTCTGAATTCCTGCATATAGAGTGCTGTAATCAGCAAAACTGTGGATTGGATTCATCGTACAGGAAAGGAGGTAGTTGATATATAAGAGCATCAATGTCGCAGCCAAGACGATCTCTGGGGAATACCCACGTTGACGTTGTGGGATATAGAGAAGAACCCGAAGCCGATCGCTAATGTGGTAGTGCCTGAAAATTGCACTAGCGAATTTGTCTGAGTGTAGCTTCTGACATATTGTGTGGTACTACTGTAGGTATATTTAATTACAAACTGTCGAAGATATAGACACTACTGTTTTATATCAAATATCAACGTCACACGCCCATGACAAGCTAATTGTCATACTGACAGTGCCAAGCATAAATGTGGAAGACACACGTTGATGAAAAAAACTTTAATGCCGGTGAGACAGAACTTCAAAATGTATGTCTTTGAGTTTATACAAATAAAATCAAACTTTCGCGCATATAGGTCGATTGAAAATGCATGTATGAGGGAGAGAGATGGGTGTATGAAAGTTATTTCTGAAGCTTAAGTGCGACCTGCCAAAAATCTTTAAAAAACCTGTATAGTTATCAACGCTCGTACTTTTCAAGACCCTTTTAGGGCAAACTCTCTGTATACATGTTGGGTGATGTGTTCTTGTCAAAATTAGGTTAGCTCTATCAATTTTTGATAAGCCTTTTATGTCATGCATCGGATGAACATGAAATGTACATGAAATATGAGTTGAAACTAAAGAAAACACCTCGTGGTAAGATACATACCTTCATAAGGCATCGCTATAGATTCGTTTTGAATAGTACATTCACAATAATTTTCCAGTCATTACCTATGTATATTCAAATTAGCTATCAGTCTAACTTTTTGACGGATTCATAAATTTTCAAAATATCCAGCAGGTTATTTCATGGAGATGGTTACTTCTAGAAGACTCCAGTTACTTTCATTAGTTTTCCCATTGACCTACCTTTTTAAACTTGAACATAGATTTCACAAAATAGTGGATAGTTCTACAATAGAAAATAGAGGGAAGCGCGGTCTTCGCAGAAAAGAACACTCATGGTAGAGAAATCTAAAAATGGATAAATGATCGCCAACGTATAGCATTGCACATGGCACCAGAAGAAGAAGTGGTTAGTAGATTCAAGAAAAACAAAATTTGCATCTCTAGGAATTAGAGATTACTGTCCATGAAATTCTCCTTTAGTTTTCCTTTAAACATCTTTAATTTACAAGTAGACTTTAGATAATTATTTGCTTTATAAAATTCAAGTAATCCCTTTAGAAATATTGATTAGCAATGCTATTTAATTAAATGTACTGCTGTAAATGTTGTGGCAAAATATGATTCTTTATTTTAAATATAAAAAACAAAAACCAAATATATGAAATTTTTTGTATTCAACCACTTCAATTCCGGTAACATAGATTTTATTTTGATGTACTTATTTTTATTAGGAGGACTTGTAATTTTAAGAATACAGCTTCATTGGCAGTGAACAAGATAGTTGAACAATACAGTAAATGCGGTAGAATAATAAATTGTATTATAAACGATTTTTTGGAATGTGTACTAAGACTATGAGAAAGCCCTATAAATGTTGTAATTCTTGGCAATTCGTGAAATAATGTACACATAGCGAGTCTCAAACTATATACAGGGTATCCAATAAGTACCACGACAAACTTAAGGAGAAGGTAGGCATTTTACTTACCTCCCAAATAACAAAAACTTACCTATATAAAAGTGTCACCGTTTTTGAGATATTGAATTTTTTCTTAATTTCTAATATCTTTCAACTACATTGCATTTGTATATGATAAAGCAACTACCTAGAAGTATTTTATAGAAAAAATGAATAAAGTATAACCTTATTTGTACATGCAGCTAAAGACTACAGATGAAAAGGTTCGTTTTTTAAAATTCAAGAAAAAATTCAATACCTCAAAAACGGAGACACTTTTATATTGGTACTTTTTTGTTGTTTGAGAGGTCAGTCCAAAGCCTACCTTCTCCTTAAGTTTGTCGTGGTACCTATTTGACACCCTGAATATATATATACATATATATGTACATATATATATATATATACGTATATATATATACAGGGTGACTTCGAAGTTGAGTCATTTATTTTAACAGTGAGTAGATCTGATCAAAAGAAATGTTTTTTTCCTTTAACATTATTGTGGTAAAATTAAAGTAACAAAGTTATAGCCCTTTAGAAGTTTGAGAGTTTGAGTACCGCCCTGTCTCAATAATAATATTATGTGCTCGTGTTTGGCAACAACGGATATACTCCGCCTTATCGGTTCATCGCATCGGAAACAAAAAAGCGAAAGAATTTGAAACGCTGATCACGATGTTTTTATTCAGTCAATGTGTCAGTCGGTAACGCGTGAGTGAATAGTGGTGTTTGCTGCGTGGCTCAAACGAAATAAAAAATGGCACATATTTATGCGGATCGGTTTCCCAATCGAGTGCAACCAACCCCTCGTGCCTTTATTAATGTAGTACAACGGGCTCGTGAATCAGGTGACTTAAGACCTCAGAGAGGAGGGCATGCCGGTGCTCCAAGACCTCACGATCAAATACAGGTCAACTTCAAAGTCACCCTGTATATACGAGCAGTAATCATTGTCATTGCCAACGATCAGTTGGGTAAGAAATACAATTAATTACTAATTGGGAAATTGGCAAAATTTTAGGCTTTAGTAAACGCGTTTAACGGTAATCTCGAGCTTTCGGCACGCCATGGAGCCATCATCAGGAACTGAAACACAAATACGAAGCTAGCAACCAATACGGAAAAGATTTAAGTTTTTCAGGCAACGTACTCGTTTCTGAGGTTACAGCTAAATGGTGTTTCAAAACGAAAGCGTGGATGAGAGCACTTGTTGCAAATGTAAAACCAAAAGGACGGACACACTGGGTTTTTTGGTAAAGACGGAAATCATAGGTGTTACCACTATATATATATCGATACAAATTAAAAATTATCGAACATTTTCGAAATATTAAAAGTAGTATCTACTGCATTTTGGGGGAAAACGGCAGAATCACTTCTAACCTCCTACATCTGTTTCACGTGGAGACAATGAGCGAACCGGAGAGTGGTGCGTCGACAGATGACAGATGAGTGTCACGAAGGAATGTGGAAATGTAAAAAGCATTGCGAATTTCAGGTATAGAGTATACGAGGGATGATCGGAAAAAACTTCATTTTCCCAAATGGCTGGATTAGTTCTGTTTTGAAAAGTGTAATTAATGTGAGTGTAAGATGGTGATAATACACGCTTGAAAAGATGGGTTGAATGAAGATATATTAATATTTATTATTGCTGTGAGACATTGAAGAAAAATTGTTTCAATTAACAGAACATTTTTTTTTGAATGTTGTTTAATTTTGGGAGGATGTTAGAATATAGAATATGTAGTCATTCTAACTTTACGCAATTCAATAAGTAAGAATAAATGACACTAAGCTGCCTAACATCAGCCTTTTTATTCATACAGTGATCTGTCATGAAAATGTGGGACATTTCTAAAAATAGACGTTTTGAGAGTTGTTGCTCCTTGTCAAAAGCCCTAATACTGCCATACCTCATATAATGACCTGTGGTGTCAACATGTGATGCCAAAGCACATCTCTGGATGTAATCTGGCGTCACTTTTGTGTGACGTTATCCTGCCTTTCAGTGATCTCGATGTTTGGCCTATGTAAACTAAATTGCAGTTGTTACAATTAATGTAATAGACAGTGATGGTTGAATAAAGCAGCTGAACCCTATCCTTCATTTTGGTAATCACACTGTTGACTGTGAGAACTGATTTACAAAGCAAAACGACAATTTAAGGAATTATACAGCCTGATAAATTTTGGAGTATATCTTTGATGTATGGCAAGACAACATAGTTAACTCTGGCATTAGAAGCATAATTCATAGTGTTATCATTATCATTAGTTAAAGAATTAATGGGCGTCGGGTTGGCCAGGACAGTGTTGCCATTGTCAATATTGTTATTTGAAATTGGCAAAATATTAGAATAATAATAATAATAATATTTATTCACTCAATGTATAAAGATAACAAACAATATGAGTAAATAAATATAAAATCAAAACAGGCCCAATAGAAGGCATCGCCTGTACATGGACCAATAAATTTAAGTTGAAACTGTAGAATGCTGGAGAGCTGAACAGGATTTTGTTAACCAAATACTTCGGATAACCATTATTGATGCATAAAGCTGAAAGCTTCCTTAAATTGGAAAGATGGAAAGTATTGTCAGAGATTTTTATTACCCTGTTCTTCATTTGTTTCACCAAGTTTATCTTTGTTTTAAATTCATGGTAAGACCTGTAGTTCAGGAACCTTCCAGAGGAAATTGGTTTCCTGTACCAGTTTACCAGTAGTATATTATTGTCGGTGCGAATCAATCTTGAGTCCAAAAATGGAACTGATTGATTATCATCTTCTTTTTCGATGGTGAACTGAATGTAGGGGTCATAGCTGTTGAAAACTTCAACAATATCATCCACCTCTTCACAAGGAAGACAAACAATAATATCGTTCACATATTTTTTTTAAAGATTGGATTATATGGCAGTACCTGAATAACAACATCAAGTAGGTAATCCATCACATATTCTGCTAAAATTGGAGATAACACTGAGCCCATGGGGCAACCATGAGTTTGTGAGGAGACTTTGTTATTAAAAGTGAAATAATTATTCGGGAAAAGGTACTCTAAGACATTAATGAAAGAATCCAGAGTTAGATTGCTGTGTTTGCATATTTGATCCCAATGTTTGTCAATGGATCTAATGCAAGCTTCCAAATAAACATTACTGAAAAGTGAGATCACATCTAGACTAGCAATAACATGAGCAGGTGGTATTTGAAACCTATGAAATTGTTGACAAACATCAAAAGAGTCTTTTATATAGTATTGTCCTTTGATGTGAGCTGACTTTAAAGTATCTGCAATTAATCCGGATAAGGCTTGCATGGCTGATTCAATAGATGTCACTATAGGTCTTACCGACAGAACCGGTTTGTCTATTTTGGAAAAAGCATTTCTTTTAGGAGAGGCAGAATTATAAGTGATTAAGGGCTTTTTTTTGGTCCTGGCATTTGACCAGTGCTGAGTAGCCTGTTCACAATGTCATTGCATCCTTTCTCTACTTTAGATGTAGGGTCTTCATTGATAACTTTATATCATTCTCAATTAGAGGTCAAAGTATTGTTGTCTTAACATAATTATAGTAGCATTGCCTGAAGCTTTTATCTGAAACTTTTTCTTCTAAATCGGCATGCAAAGAAGCAAAAGTTATAGCTACATCCGTGGCTACGATAAAGTGATAATTGACAAAAATTGTCAAATTTGCTCGATGTCTTACCAGCTTCTTGTTCCGTTCTCTCGAGTATTCTACTCAATCATTTCAAGACTTACCTCCCGCTTCAGGGGAAATGTTCGGTTTAAGGCATTTTACTCAGTTTTTGTTGAGAGATTGTAACACTTGAGCATCGGTATTGACTGTCTGATATCCAAGGGCGGATTTAGAGGGCGCCCGTGCGAGATTTCCCTAGCCGCTCAAGTCCGCCATTTTCCCAAGAAAATGGTATAAGTATACATATACATATGTTATTCGCCCATTGCCCGATTTTTTTTTTACCACAACACGTTACGGGTATAGAAATTTATCCACGATGCGATTAGGGACTTTTTTTCGAGCATTGAGAAAACCTAATTATTCAGAACGCGTTTTGGGTAAATTACGTCAACCACAACGCGAATGATGGTTTCATCCGCCGAGGTTTTGCTTTGTGGAGTATTTCTTTTGTCCACGTCGCGTTCTGTCCGTTGCGCTATACCCATGATACGTTTCGAGTAAAACAATGAACAACAATACAAAACGTTTATTAAAAGTTACACACCTATCATAGAGTTACATTATATGATATTACACTGAAAACAAAACACTAAACGAAATGTAGAAATCGGAAAATAGCAATTTTAAAAACATTATTTGTTTTTACAAACTGTGGCATTTGGAATTACATTTTATATTTAATTTTACACATGCACATGCCTTTCTTTGACATCCTTTCGAACAGTTACATTTAACAAAACCTTGTTTAGACCCCGAAGACAACATGGCTTTCTGGCGCTAGTTTATCTTTTTCGCCAACTGTTAATAGATCATCGTTTTAATCTACGATATTGTTTGGATGATAATTCGAGCCCATCCCGTTTCCTTTGAAGTGCCACTTTTGTGTCATTTACAATTTCTAAATAACGTTCGTCTGATAATAACAACGACCTGTATTTTTGCTCTGACATTAATTCCCATAATCTTTGTTCAAATTCAGCTTTCATCTTGGAATATTCTCGAAGACACACACATTGAATCACAGTACATAAAAATTCACCTGCACCCTTTATCTATCCGTATGTGTCACAGACTGTCTCCCGAAATTCACCTCCAACACATTCTGAATAAATCCCAGAACTAGTCGTGTGTCGTTCGTGAACGAGTCGTTCAAAATGAACGACTCTTCTAAGTGAGCGGTGATTGAACGACTCTTTTGTTACGAATGACTCGTTCAATTGTGCCAACCAATCCAATCAAGCCTTGCAGCGTGCAGCAAGTGAACTGCGAGCGGGCAACATTGTTGACAGTGACAGTGCGACAATCGACAGTGTCAGTTGTCAATGGTGACAATTTTGAATGAAATTTGAATCTTTGAATGTGTTCTAATTTTTATAATAATACTAAACTGTGCATTTTTATGTAACTTAAGAGTCAAGTCAATTCAATGGGAGTGTTAAAAAATGTAAGTGAAATATTTATTCAGTTTTACTAACGGTTTATAAATTAATAAAAAGTAAGTAAGTAAAATCTTTCACTTAACAGTGACTTGAACAAGTTCAAAATTTTTAGTTTTGAGCTTTTTCATGTCCATGTCATAGAGATAATTTATAATAAAATGTTAGATATGACCTTTAAAGTACTTATACTCTTTAGCTGCTATATTGATATTTAGTAAAGAAAAAAATACAGAAAAATAAATTTAATGAACATAAATATAAGGAATATTGAAAATATACCTACAACATAACATATTTACAAAAAAAAAACTGTAATTAGGAACCATATTTTATTAAACTTGAATATAAGTCATAAAAAACAGAATAAAACATATATTAAACAGAAACCTAATCACAGCCTGATTGCTTGCAATAAAATAAACTATCAAACAGATAAAAAAAACAAAAAATAAATATACCAAACATAAAAACTTATTCACAGAAAGTAATGACTTAGGAACATTATTTTAATAAATAAATGAAACTAAAAATATAACTTTTTCACAAAAAATAATTTACATATTTCAATAAACAAGTTGTAGAAATATATTAAACAAAAACTTAATCACATCTTTGGTATGCATTTGAAGCATAACAATAATCATCACAAATTGGAATTCAAAAAGAGTAACATGGAAACTTTTTGTCCTTGAAGACTGCTCCTTTTTTCTGTAAGAGTTTGACCAGCTTTAGAAAATATCCTTTCACTCGGGACTGAAGTAGGTACTATGCTTAACCTACTTTTCATAAGTACATATAGAGATATACATGTTTCCTTTGTTCCCACCACATGAATGGGTCACAATCTCTCTGCAATAATGGCTCACCTAGATATTTTTCTACTTCTATAATTCCAGCTGTTAAAGGATTAACACTAGACACCACATTAGCAATAGCCGAATCAAAAGATTCCCATATAGCTGATTTTGTAGTCTTTTTGTTAATTCAACTCCATCTGCCTGAATCTGCTCATCATTTCTGTTGGTGACTTCACTTGATGATGAGGTATTCCTGGTGACATAACTAATTAAATTTTGTTTTGCACATTCGAAAGCTGTTTTACTATCAAATCCAAACTTTTTAAATCGTGGATCCAAAATTGTTGCTTCAGCAAACATTTTGTTAAATTATATATTGCTAAACCTTTTTTGTAAAGACGATAATAGAGCCTCAGTCAGCTGTTTACACTCTTCTGGAATTTCTGGATTATCCACCAGAAATTTCCTACAATATTTTGAAAGTGAATTGCTAAACAATATATTTTTTGAAACAGTCACTTCTTTTTCTGATGAAATTTCTTCTGTTACTTCCTTGAACACTTTTAATATCTGACAACATATTTCCAAAATTTTCATGTCAGTGTTTGATAAATTTGGTAGGTTCGTGCAATGTATTGCAATTACTGACATCAATGGTTGTTTTATTTCTAGTATGCGTTGGAACATGTCAAATGTGGAATTCCATCTTGTGGCCACATCTTGCTTCACTTTTAATTCAGGAAGCCCGAGTTGAATTTCCATCTGTTTTAATTTTTCAGTAGCTTGTGGGCTACGCCTAAAAAAATCAACTATGGTTTTGACTTTTTGTCTAATACCGTGTATCTTTGCTAAAGATGATTGCACCACTAAGTTAGTTGTATGTGCAAAACAAGGAATGTGGTTCCAGCCAGTTTTCTTCACAGCTGCTACTATATTTGCCCCATTATCAGAAACAATGGCAACTATTTTCTGATAAATCCTCCACTCATGTGCAATTCTCTTGAGTCCTTCACATAAATTTACAGCTGTATGGCTCTCAGTATAATTATAGCACTCTAATAAGTTTGAGTTAATCTTATTAGAATGTAAATAGTGGGCTGTGATGGCCAAATAACTTTCATTTGATGCTGATGTCCATGCATCAAGAGTAGCCAAAGAGCACGAAACATTTGTCCTTGGTTGGCCGTCAATAGTTGACGATCAAATAACTAGTTTGTTGATGGCGAATAGACCGTGTCTACTATAGCGCCAGAATCGGCCACAGTGGTTACTTCGTAAAAGACCTATATAAAATAAAAAAATAAAAAAACGGAAAAAGTCAACTTCCTGACTAGATATCTGCTAGTATACAATTAGTACATTTCGCTATTGCTAGCGGTGAGTGTCACCCATAGCGTCACATATCATGCTGCAAGTCAGTTCGTCAGCCTACTTTGTTGATTGCAGAATGTCAAGACGGTATGTAAGGTATGTATCTCTGAGAATATGTGAAAGAAACAAAATTGATGGAGTAGCACAGAATAGCAAAATGGTATCCAGATGAATGTGTGTATTGGTCTGCATGTGTATAAAATCAGTAATATTTATGTGAGGAAATGATTACTGACTATTTTCCTCGTCTTAATTTCTAGCAATCACAAACGCGCAAATTTGAATTATAAATTGTTTCTAGATGGAAAAAATGTATGACAGCACCTGTCAGCAGTTTTTTTGAGTGTACCCGCGGCAAAACTTGACAGCTCTTGTCACCAAAAATTACAATACCTTTGATAACAAGTAATTATGGTCTCCTAGGACACCAGAAAACGACGCTAAGCAATTTTTCTGATTTTATTGTCAATAAATTTTGTAAGCTATGTGTATGCAGAATAATCTGTTACTCATGAAATAGTCTTGTCTCTCGTGCAGGTGCAAAAATAATCGTCTTCGACTCGGATTTTTGTTGTCACCAGCACTCATGCTTCTTGTTAAAATATGACTTAGCAAGGTGTTTTTTTTTTCGATTTTCTTCGGAAAAAATAGATGCCCTTGTGATAGTAATTATCAATATCCTGGCTATGAATTATATATATTAGCTGTACCAGACGTGTTATTATTTGTGTTATCCTTTCTGGAGAGAGGTTCTAAGTTATATATAAGGCTTTATTTCAAAAAATAAATATATTCACTTACCTTCAAAGCCACATCACAGAAACACTGGGAATGAGGCATCACACATAAAAAATTTTCGCTGTGCCTTACGGGCGCTGATTTGTATTTTCTACTTATCATCGCAGAATAGATTTCTATAAAATTTAAATGAATGGAAATAAAAAAAATAATGTAAAATACAATAACCTTTTCACGTTTCATAAATACTCCTGTCTACTAGTTCTTATATACCAGTCAGAGATTTTATTTTCTTATCTTTCGCATTTTTGAAACTCAGCAAATTTGCATATGTAATTTCCAGGATAAATAAGAAAAAGTGGATGCGCAACTAATATCTAGCTTTGCATATCTACATCTCAAGTAAGTGCATTTGAGACAAGAAACCAAGGAAATTAACATCAACACAGTTTTTATTAGCACACAAATCCTCACTAAGCACGTATGTACTGACGTTTGCTTCCAGGCGTAGTATACAACTTACAGCTTATACTTCCAATCATGTAATCTCTGAAGCAGATGTTACATCAAATCAGAGCCAAACCATGATAGCTCATGCGTCATGACGTTTAGGTGATACGTACACAACGAGTATACATCAAGCGAACACAGCTAGTTTCAAGCTGACATCTTATAGGAAAACCTATATAATGTCAAAAAAACCGACAATGTTAAAAATACGTAATAATACCCCTACCGGGTGGCGATACGAACTGGGATACAGTTCCAACCAACGAATTCAAACTGGTAGAAGGAGCCAGTCAAGGATTTGTGTCTTCCAATTCTCATAGCGAGAGATCAAAGTGCAGTTGACAAGTACATTTTTTGACAGTTTGACAAATTGTAGGACGCCTTTATGGCCTCCTTGATTTTCATAGCCTCTTCTCTCCTTCAGAAAGGCTGGGGTATTTCTAGATTTCTAGGGTTCGGTGTCAGCGCCAGCGCTCTCCTATTGTGAGATTATGTTCCCTTTTTGAATTGTGAGAAATCTCAGGATGATATTACAGATGTTATAAATCAAAAGAATGAACAAATTGATGCAAATAGATATGTATAACATAACCTCAAAATAGACCGCTGACACGGAACAGTAGAAAACTATGAAAATTAAGGAGACCCTAAGGCCCGTATCGTCAGTCGTCCCTACAATCGTAGGGCGCGTTTATGGCCTCCTTGATTGTCATACTTCTTTCTCTCCTTCAAACATTTCTAGATTGAACCTGTCCCGTGCCATGTTTTCTTTTTAAATTGTAGGAAATTTCAGGCTGATAAAAAATGATTTAACTCAAAAGCAAGCAAAATTTGACGCAAATAGATATTTGTGACATAACCTCAAAATAGAGCGCTGACACGGAAAAGTAGAAAACTATGACAATCAAGGGGGCCATAAAGGCGTCCTACAATTGTAGGAACGACTGGCGATACGGGCCTAAAGGCGTCCTACAACTGTAGAAACGACTGACGATATGTCCCTTAGTGTTTTTTTTTAAAAAGTGCTAGTCTTTACAGAATTAAGGTGTTAGACGATTTCAAGATGATGGTACTTCTTACATAATTTGCAACGAGAGATTTTTCGATCGGTAAGTACTAATATCATGTTGATACAACGCTAACACTTTAGTAAGCATTGGCAGGCCACTGAGTAAAAACATGCACTAAATCTCCGCAATTTTGGCGACAAATAATGCAATACAAACATATAGGCTTGGCTCCTAATCTATTAGAATAGAATGGTAATTTGTGCAGACATATGGCGATACAACGTAAGTACCTTGTTGAGATAACAAAATTGGGAATAGGTTTACAATAAAGCAACACGTATTTATATAAATATTTGATGTACAAACATGCTAGTAAGGTTAAACATTAATCGCCCAGTATAAAGTACAACAAAAAACCCAAAAATATAAAAAATACACTTTCAGTTAGCATACGACCCCAAGTATGCCTGGCAGTTTGGACAGTAATGTTGTAAAGTCTGGCAGGAATCACAGCAATATGGAATACATACGCAAGGTATGCATCTGGAAAAGTAAAAAAATGAGTTAACGTGAATTATTTCTGGCAGAGCTATACAGCAATGTGTTTATCCTTAATCAAATATTATATCGCCTGTCATGTAATCTTTAATCTTTTATCACATAAAATATACGCAAAATGTTTCATCGTGGAATGATACGAGTACCTGGTGGTGTAAATATGAAATAGATTTAGTATCCAAAATAATGATACCGTGCCAAATATCGTTTAGTAAAATGTCACAACTTATAATAGAGTCTTTTTCACAAGTATCGATTACGGCAAATATGATAGCAAGTAACAACTGATTATCTAGAGACACTACAAAATACCCCAAATCAACTAGTGACACACAATACTGACAGATCTGTCAACGTTAGACTGTCTTGTTGTACATTTTATTGTGGTCTTTTGTACGCTACTGATTTATACTTAATAACAATGCTTTTATTTGGAAAAGTACCTTCGCACACTCGAAGAAACGCTACAAGCAAAATGGCTGCTAATGATCATGACTATATTTCAAGTCAAGTAACAATAAAAAAATGTTTTCACTAGGTTTTTTGTGAGTGGGTCAATCGCAATCCTCCACTCGTCTACTGTGGTTCACACCTATTTCCCCACCGTCCAAGGAAGACGATCAGCTTGTTAGGAGAAATATCCTTCAGGTCTTCTACCTGGAGGACTACTCTCCTAAGTGTGTACCTGACTCTGGCATTTACAGGGCATCTGCACAAAACATGCCTAACCGTTTCATTTCACTGCATGCACAGTCTGCACTCAGCATCTTCCGCCATAAGCAGCCTGCTCATGCAGTGACGCAATTTGCAATGACCAGTGTACAGTGCCACTAAAGTTTTGCCGAAGCAGTCTGTTACTGTTTTTGTTAAGATTGGTTAGTCGCCATAGCGGGTAACCCTCTAAAGGTGTTTTACTATGTTTGGCATAAACAGTTCTGAACTCGATTCATACCCGATTCATTATTGCCACTAAAGGCTTTAATAGAAGGATCACTCGCTGGTCAGCTATTCGCCACAGCACACGTCAAGACGCTCAGAACTGTTTATAATTTTTTTGTATGTGGCAAAAATACAGATTTCTATAATTGTTGCCAGTATAGGAGCAACAATGACAAATTAATGCACTGCCATGAAAGAGAAACCTTAATCAAATTCAAGCGAATAACCAAATGAAAGCGGTATTTACCATTTTCGATTGGTATTTACCGATCCGTTCAAGCGAGTGTGGTTATCACTTTGGTTATAAGATCCGTGACGTCATGAATCAGCTGCTATATGTCATAGTTATCACCGCAAAATTGTGGTATTTACCCAACTCAGGAGTAGTTTTATATTTCTGGTTATTATTTGAAATGTGACAAGTTAGAATTTTGCCGGGTATTGGATATTTTTATTGTACTATACTTCAGCTTCATTTTTGGGAAACTTGATACAGGCTGACTTCAGTTTTAGCATAAAGTAGAGCACCTTATCAGTTATAATCATTACTGTTGTTGGGGATAGTTTAAATCTAGTTCCTATGCTTAACAAAGTATCCTGTGTAGCCATATACCACAAGAACATTAAAATATGGCCATATAAACTCACTGGATGATGTCCACCTGTATGCGGTCCTGCGAATATTTTTTTCATCGTTTTTTCCTACCATTGCTGCTAAATCAATAAATGTTTTCTTTGACATGCGGAAAAGTTTAGAGGGTTGAAAGTTATCATAGCTACAAAGCCATGGCTCCATGATTAAATTTTTTTTCTGGAAAAAAAGATTTCTCCCATTAATAATATGAAAGGTTTCTTTTTTAAACTTTCCATACACCGTTGTAGACGAAAAAGCACCGATTATTAAGTGATAATAAAAATAAAAAGAAATTATATAGAGCTTTTCTAAAATAAACAACTTACAACAAAACCGCGGTTAAAACCAACGCGTTCAAGCGATTCGAGTAACTGACCTCATCAACCCGTGCGTCATCTTGAACCATACTATAACCGCGATACATAACACAGAAATGTTTGTTATTCACTTGGATTTGATTATTGTGTGTGGAAATAATATAATTTTTGTCACATTTGCCATCATGGTCACTGGCGAAACAACTTATGAGTCGTGAAATGGCTCTGGTTATTTGTTTGTTTAAAATGAAAGTTAAAAAAATGCATTGAAGCTATAGCTATCCGTAAAGTATAAAAAAATGAAAAAGAGGGTTAAAAATATTAAGTAACAAAGAAATTGTACATTCACAAATCATTGAGATGCACACATTAAAAAAGTATTGAAACTTGCCACTAATAAAGGTATGGCTATCGTAAATATAGCAAAATATAGTAAAAACAAAATTAATATAAAAAGCGCACTACAAATATACGATAATCATCACATTCATACAGGCTGGTGACTACATCTGGCCTTTACATAGAGGCTTGTACAACGATTTGCCATCTATATATACTCATGGATTTTTTTTCTAGGTATGGTTGTTATCCGCAATGAAATTCTTTTTTAAATAGTCCAATATTTTGTATAGTTTTGTAAGCGACAGGTATTTCATTGTACAGCTTGGAGCATAGATAACCCCAAGAGCGTTGTAATAGTGTTTTTTCTGTCTTGGGTACTATTTGGTGCAGAGTCTGGGGTGTCATATGTATGGATCATTTTTTCATGAAACGTTTTATTTTTAAAGTAATATACCATGGAATTATAGATAAAAATCTGTTTTATGTCCATCATTCCGGTCTCATGATATAGTTCGTCAGACGGATGAGCTTTCTTTAGTATATATTTTTGAGCAGTTTCCAAGTTTCTTAAATATGAGAATGCCGCTTCTCTCCAACCAATTACTGCGTAGCAAAGATGTGACTGCACAAGTGCGACTCTGATACGAGCCCCTTCCCACTTCAGTTGGCCCACTTCAAGATTTGTACCAAAATATGCCTTTATAAACTAAACATGACGAAACTATTTACTTCTAAAACAATTTATTTTCTCAAAAGCATTTTAGATACACTCTAGTCGTAAAAAATACATATTTGACATCACTTAGACCTATAAGTAATAGAACATCTGAACAAATAAACAATGTGAGAATAAATGTGCGAATTTAACAAAGCAACGATTGAAAGATTACCATTGGGTAACATCACCTTTATTTTTTATTACGGCTGAAATTCTTTGGGGCATAGTGTTAACCAAGTTTTGGCAAAAATTTGGTGTAAAACAATCTCATATTTCTTGAATCTTTTGTCTCAGTTCGGTGATTGTACGAGCAGGATGTTGTCGTAGAACCTTTTTCATCTCGTGCCACAAAGTTTCAATAGGTGACAGATCTGGACTTATAGAAACCCGTTTCAAAAGTGGTACATTATTTTCTTCCATCCATATTAAAGTCTTTTTTGAGGTATGGCACGCTGCACCATCTTGGCCGGATGTCAAACATTCTTCCACCACTGGTAAAAGCGATTCTTCTAAAATTGCCAAATATTTGTTTGTATCCACATTTTCTTTTCTCTTCAGACAGTCAACATGGAATGCTTCATTTTTTTTGCGAATAACTCTACTGCGACTGTCACTAACACAAACTGCGAATCGGGCCACATCACTCCATTGTATTGCACACCACTGTTGAGGTGTCCATTGTCTATGTTCTTTAGCCCATCTAAGCCGATTTTTCTTTTGCAGTGGAGTTAATAGTGGCTTTTCTTTGGCCTATAAACAAGTTGTGCAACTTTAGGGTTTTTACTTCACTTTTTTTTATAAGAAAACTTACCTTGCAAGTGCTAAATCCCAGTTTGTGGGCCTCTCTATGAGTTGTGGACCTCGAAATTCTCCTTCCAACAGCGTCACTCCACAGAGCACTTAATTGTAAATAATTGGCACGCCTATTTCTCACGATTATTCTTCTTAATGCTCTTCGGTCGGCATTTGTGATATTACTTTTTTTCACATATCGTGGCTTAATATTAACTGAACCAGTTACGTTATATCTTCTAACAATATTTCTCACACTGTACCGCGATAAGTCTAACAAAGTTGCAATTTCTGAGTTTGATTTCCCAGAATTAAAAAATTTAATTATCAGTATTCAAATTTTTTCACTAATAACCTTTCCTCTACCCATTTTGAAAACCTTAACTACCCAAAACTATTTTAAACGTATTCTGACAGCTGTGATTAATAAAAACAATTGTCATGGCTTTTATTTTTCACAGCCACCTATGCGTTATAGACTTATTTTGCACTGAAATGAAAACAGGATGATATGCTGTAATTGCAACATGTGTTATTTTTATGCTGCAAATTTGATTAGGGAGTGATAAAGTTGGTGTTTTCTACTATATATTATCAAAATATTCATTGTTAATATTTTAAACCTATAACATCCTGCTACATTTTTATTATTTGTATTTGATAAGAAAAAAACTAAGATTTCAATAGTTGGGCCAACTGAAGTGGGAAGAGGCTCGTGCAATCAAAGCTAAGGTACTTGAACTTTGTCATAAGGCATCTTACTTTCTTTGTTACATACTCAATTTGTACATCCCATCTTAGATTATCATCATTATAAACTCCGAGGTATTTAACGCTGGTTTGACATTTTTTAATAGTTATGGTACTATTTGCTGTTTTGACGTTAATTTCAGTGTACGGAAGAAAGTGATTCTTATAAGACAAAAGTACAAAGGTAGTCTTCGCAGCGTTGACTGTTAATGATTTGCTGTTAAAATATGGTAGGACATTTTTAAGGTAGTTTTCAGTATTGTTTTTTAGTGCATCCCAGTTTGAGGCTTCATAAGTGATAACAGTATCGTCTGCGAATCCTAGCACTGTACTCCCCGAATCTATTGAGAATAAATTATTTCTGTAGATGTTGAATAAAATGGGGCCTACAACAGTTCCCTGCGGGTTACCGCAGCTGATATTTTGATAATCACTTGTTATATTATCAATTCTTACACATTGCTTTCGGCTACTCAAATAACTCGATATTAGA